AGAGAAAGGATCGCCGGGCATCCAGGGCCCCCCGGGTCCTCCGGGATCTGCCGCTCCCACGGGGCAGGAACGCGGTGACGGCGTGGCGGTGGAGCGAGTGGTCGGTGTCGAGGGACCGCCGGGACCTCCCGGACCCCCCGGGAGAGACGGTGAGCCGGTGAGTAGCCAGGATTCAGCTCCACTCCCCGCGCCCCCCCACCCCAACTCCCGTCCACTGTGCACGTGAATCTCGCCGAGAGAGTGGGGGTAGGGGGCACGGTATCTCGTCATGACTTACTAAAGACGGCTGTTGGAGGACTTTCAAATAGGAAGACCCACCCCCCCCCCACCCCCCCAGGACCGAGTGTGTTCGAGATGAAAGCTTCTACCACTCGCCTTCAGTAATTCAGCAAACCCCTTTTCTCCAGACAACCTGAACGGGCACGGCACGGTGGCACAGTGGTTAGCACTGCTGCCTCGCAGCGCCAGGGACCCGGGCTCGATTCCACCCTCGGGCGACTGTCTGTGTGGAGTTTGCACATTCTCCCCGTGTCTGTGTGGGTTTCCTCCGGGTGCTCCGGTTTCCTCCCACAGTCCAAAGATGCACAGGTGAGGGCAGATCAGCCATGCTAGTGTTAAGGGATGTGCGGGCTGAGTGGGTTAGCCACGGGAAGTGTAGGGTTACAGGGATGGAGTGGGGGAAGAGGGTCTCTTCAGAGGGTTGATGTGGACTTGATGGGGCAAATGGCCTGCTTCCACACTGTAGGGATTCTCTGTGGCTCGAGGGGCTGAATGGCCTCATCCGTTTCCAATGTCATTCGGAGTTGAGGACAGACAATGACTGTGTGTGTGTGTGTGTGTGCGTGTGTGCCTTGTGTCCTTCATTTTCTGTTTAAAGGGGACGGAGAGATCTCTGCAGTCTATTAACACTGATACGACACGCTGTGTCCTCCTTGCAGGGTGATCCCGGCGAAGACGGCAAGAGGGTGAGTGTCTCATTATTTCAGTTTTCGATCAGGTGGGCTGCGCTGGGCGCTCGCCTTTTCTCAAAATGGCCGGGCCCCTGGGTGAGGGGTCATCGAATGCCGCAGGGGAAAAGGGGGCTGAATCATTGGCTGCTCAGACCGGTCAGTCCTGAGCCAGGAAATCTCTTCCTCTGGCACTTGTCCGCAAACCTGTGAGCCCTTCATTTCCGCAAGGGGTTTCCGCTTCGTTGGCGGAGTGTTGCGTTTGGGAGAAAGGCTCATCGCCAGTGAATCCTTCCCAACCCAGACGGACAATACCTGTTCTACCTCACAACCATCTCACTGAGCAGTGGAAACGATCTTCTGTCTTTATTCCCTCATGGTGTGTCAACCACGTTGCTGTGGGTCTGGCATCGCGCGTGGGTGCCATGAGGTGAAGATGGCGGCTGTCCTTCAATCGGGGGTTGGTCCTCAGCGTCACCGCTTCAGAGGGAATTTTTCAATTCCACGGAATTCACCAACCGACTCTAAATTCCGCGAGGATCGGTGGGATTTGAACCCGTCTCCACAGAGCATTGACCTGGCTCCCAAGGATTTCCAGTCACGGCGACATGACTGCTTCTAAATCTCCCTCGATCTCACGCCCCTATTTTGATTCTTCTCTTTGGACGCCCTTAATTAATTCTGATTCCAACGGATTACACAAGTCTTTCTTCACAGCTCCACTGAAAATGAAGGTTCGTAAAGAATTTGCAGCACAGAGTTAGCCCGACCAGTTCGTACTTACGCACATATTTTAAAAAAATTGAGGGCCGCCCATTTAAGTCAGAGGTGAGGAGAAACCTTTTCTCGCGGAGGGTTGTACACTCCCTTTCTTGAAAGGCAGCAGGAGCAGAGAGATTGAATATATTCGAGGCAAAGGGCGAGAGATTCTTGTTGAACAAGAAGGTGAATGGTTGACAAGGTTAATTGGGAATGGGGAGCACCAGCTCAGCCATGATCTCACTGAACAGTAGAGCAGGTTCGACGGGCCGAGTGGCCTACTTTTGTTCCTGATTTATTTATTTACTCAAGGGATGAGGGCGTCACCGGCTAGGCTAGCATTTGTTGCCCGTCCCTAATTGCCCAGAGAGCAGTTAAGAGTCAAACACATTGCTGTGGGTTTGGAGTCACACGTAGGCCGGACCAGGTAAGGATGACAGTTTCCTTCCCTAAAGGACATTCATGAACAAGATGGCTTCCACCCCCCCGCCCCCGACAATGGATTCATAGTTATCCTTAGACTCTTTCATTCCAGATTTGTGTTGAATTCAAATTCCACCATCTGCCGTGGCGGGATTCAAACCCGGGTCTCCAGAACGTTGCCTGGGTCTCTGGGTTAATAGCCCAGCGATAATATCGGCCTGCTCCCACTCCTCTCCATCTAACCGTCTCAACATAACCTCCGAGACTTTTCTCCCAACGTGTTAACCTAGCCTCGCCTTAAAGGCGCCCGCGTTATTTGCCTCATGCCCTCCACACCATACAACACTTTTCACCGTGTTTTGCCACAAAATACACGTGACGATAAATAATTAAATCAAATATTCTAACCACTTTGTTGGGTGAAGCGGTTTCCCCCGAACATCTTATTGAACTTATTAGTGACTTTGACATAGTCATGGCTTCAATTTTGGTCTCTATCCACAAGTGGAAACAGCTTTCCTTCATCCGCCCTCCCCCACCCCCTGTTGAACCTCTTCGTTACTTTAAATGCCTTGTGTGCAGAAAGTAGCACCACCAGTTTGTTTATTAATTCATTGCCCATTTCCCTACCTTTGTGAGTCACCGTTGTTTGTATTCTCCCTGCAACAGAGTGCCCGCTAACTGAATAAATACTGCAACTGCAGTCAAACTGGCGCCCACCACAAGATCAGACATGACCCGTGCAATACATCTCTGGCCAACCCGATTTTGGCAGGGGTGGGTATTCAGAATGACAATCAACTGCATCGGCGTCTTAGAAGAGCGACTGGCTTGAATTTGTGCAGCGCCTTTCGCGATCACAGGAAGCCCCAAAGAAATTAGCCCTTCTGAGGTGTGGTCGCCGCTATACAATGTCGAAAATGTGGCGGCCATTTTCTTCCCCCCGTGATGTCGGTCGGGTGGGGGAGGGGTAAATTTTCACCGGGACACCGGGTAGGACCCCTCTGCACTCCCGCGGGATCTTTAATCCCCACGCCGGAGGGCTGGAAGGGCTTCAATTTAACATTGTGTCACTCCCGACAGCGCTGGGCTCCGTCACGTTCCCTGTTTTGCTGGAACGACAACGCGGGGTCAGCCACGATTGAGCGGGATGGTTGAAAAGGCTCGGGAAGCTGAGGGACCTGCTCCGTGCCGCTACGTTGCTGAATGTCCGTTCTTTCCCGTTTCAGAAGCGACGTTCCTCCGCAAATGCTTCGGGCACTGTTTGCAAACGGAGTAGTGGGTGAGGGGACGCGGCAGGACACGGCTGTAAAATCCAGTCTTTGCTTTCCTTCCTTTTTGCTTAGGGCGAGATCGGTCCTCAAGGATTCCCAGGGACCCCTGGCGATCGCGGAGCTAAAGGCGATAAGGTCAGCCACTGATGAGAAGATCGGTCTCCACTCTTTTGCCTCCTTTTCCTGACTTCCCTTCCCAGTTTCGCCGCTCGGGGAAAATCCAAACAAATCAAAACAGGGCAGTTCAATCCCAGATTGCCTGGAGTAGAGGATTCGAGGGGCTGGTTTAATTGAGGTGTTTAGGATGATTCAAGGATTGCAGCACTTGGTAATGTCAAAGTATTTCCTGTGGTGGGAGAGTCCAAAACCGGAGCGGGGAGGGAGTGGGGAGGTGGTGGGAGGAGGCGGGGGGAGGGGGATGGGGAAGGCACAACCTTTAAATTAGAGCCAAGGCCAGTATTCACTTGTAGGGAGCACTTCCTCAAACAAGAGAAAGTGAAAATCTCTGGCACCCGCAAAATACGACTGAAGCTGCCTGGCAGATTGAAAATTTCGAAACCAGGTTGAAAATTTCGAAACCAGATTGATAGATTTTGTTGGGTGCCAGTGTCAAGGCTTATGGAGTTTAGATGGGTAAGTGGGGTTAAGATACAGCTCTGTCCTGATCTGATCAGGTTGGAGAGCCCCCAGAGGCCTCCTACTATTTTTCACATAGAGACGTCCGTCTTAAGTAAGGACATTCCTTTCTCTCTGTCGTTGACTGCTTTGCGGGACGTGACCAGCACTTGTGCCCATCCCCTCGAAGCGAGGGGCTCGCTGGGTCATGTTAAGAGTCGGCCCCGTTGCCGCGGAGCTGGAATCCCATGTGGGCCAGACCCAGGTAAAGACAGCAGATGCCCTCCCTGTAAGGGGCACGGGCGGACCAGACGCGGTCTCACTACTCATCAGTGCTTTGACTTGTTGCTGATAAGACTAGTTTTTAGACTCCGGACGTGTTTGTGAGTTGAATGTAAACATTCCCATTTGCCACCGTAGGGTTTGAACTCATTCCCCACCCCCCCCGGGGGCCTGTCAAATGCCAATCCAGAATATTGCCAACCTGACGGACCCTGTCTCTCCAGTGGGCAACCGGAGTCTCACTCCCGGCCGCCTCAGGCTAAGGGGCAGATCCTGGTCGCCAGGGGCCAGCGCGTTGATTCAGATTAGTGCAGTATGAGGTGACCCATTTGTGAGAAGTCGCTAATCCAGGTGGATCTCAACCCCTGCTCTGGGCCAGAACCTGTCGGACTGTGTGCAAAGGGGCCTAACCAGTGGCTTTCCTATTCCCCCCACCGCTCCCCTTCCCCTTGCAGGGTGACTCAGGGATTGGACCCCCAGGACCAAGAGGACCCCCTGGACCACCTGGCCCACCTTGTACACCGGGCCCACCGGCTGTAATCACCAAGATGGACAAACTAGTAAGTGAATCGAGCCACGGGGTTAAACTGGAGGGCAGGCTGGACGCCGTAGAAACACTGCATTGATGTGGCGCCCTTCGTGACCTCAGGACATCCCAGAACACCAGCAAAATACTTTTTGAAGCGCGGTGGCTGGTGTAGTTTAAGAGCTGATTTGCGCACAGCAAGCTCCCACGAACCTCGTCGCGATTGTGGGAAATGTATTGGCCAGAGCTACCCCGTTGTTCTTTCTGATAGCGCCCGTGGGATCTCCTTCCCCGACCCATTCGACAACACGTCCTACAGCAGAGCTTTCCCTTTCTGCTCCCCTGACTCTTGTCAGCCTGGATTACGCGCTCAGTTCACAACAGTGAGACTTGAACCGTAAACCATCAGACTCAGAGGCAAGAGCAGCAAGCAGTGAATGATGGCAGCTATGCACAGCAAACTGCCAAACCCCTTCTCTCCAACACATCGCTGTGAAAACCAGTACTGGTCTTGCATTGTTTTATTCAAAGCGCCGCTTGGTGATATGGGAACCAGCCCTTGCACAGTCTTAACCTTTATTTACAGGGTAGAACGTTACTAAAATGCACCTCCTGACCCACCTGCAACCCAGTCACAGTGAGTGTCTCCTTCAGTGTGAAGTGAAATCCCTCGAGCAACGCCCTACACCTGCTTACAGCTCGCATTGTAACCAACACACAGTTCACATGAAAGGTTTTTTTATGGTGTACTCGTAGTCCCCCTTCCTCTGGGACAGGAGGCCCAGGTTCAAGCCCGAGGTATCATAACGTTTCTGAATGGGTTGATTAAAAAGATTTGTAATTAGCGCAGACGACGTCCGCTCAGCGGCACGGCCTGGCGGGTTTGTTTTGTTACAATTCTGCATTGGCTGTGACTCATCCTCACCTATTACAGCGGATTTTACCGTCCCGCGCTGCCATTTCCAGGGGCTTGGACAGTCGCGTGGAGTATGGAGGGGACTTCAGACGAGTAGGGATTCATGGATGGACTTTGCGTTGTTCATTAATGTGTGTGTGTGTGGGTCCTATCAATGAGTCACAAATACTGTGTCCTCTCGCACAGCACTCTGAGGTACTGAGTCGCAGCACCACAAATAGTCCACGAAAGTGATATTTCGGAGAGACAGAGAGAATGAACGTTAAAAAAGTCATGTCCTCACAACTTGCAGCCTCATTCCTTTTAACTCTGTCTAGTTTATACAGAATTCTTCACTGGAGGAGTTAACTGTCCCCGATTTAACCATCAATAACGATCATACTGCTGCAGCAAACATCTTCCTCCAGGTTCCTCTTAGTTTACAGATTCTTTTCACCACTTGCAGTTATTCCTTGGCTCTGCTAATTGCCCACAGCTTCCGACCACAGCGACTGAACTTCAGAACCTTCAGGGCAGAGTTTTTTTAAATATATATACATATAATATATCCTGAGTTAACAATGTGCCTGCTCACCGCTTATGCTTCCTCCCTAGACCTTTCTCGATATGGAAGGTTCCGGATTCGATGGCAACCTGGAAATGTTTCGGGTAGGTGCACTGGCTCGCGTGAGGTCTGTATGTTTGAGGTCAGGTGGCGGTTTGGGACTGGGCTGTGTGGGTCTTGGAAGGCGCTACTCCCAAAATGTCAAGGAGGTTAGTGGTGCGGGGTGTGGGGTTTTTTGTGGGGGGTGTTAGCCTGAGATCCCTGAGCAGGTAGATGAGGTTGCAATGACTGAAATGATGTCTCCATGTGTCTGAGGCAGGTAGAATCCTGCGCCCCCCCGGAGGATTTCCAACATCATCAAGGAGCTGGCTCCCAAGAAAGAGGCAGGAGTCCTTCCATTCACGGACCGGTTGGGGCTTTCCGTGCCCTAGAAGGACAGGAGTGGGGTGGAATGTATCTGTTGAATTGAGTCCTGCAACATGTTCCCAGGCCCCCCCCCCCCTCCCCCCCCACCAAGGGGCAGGACCCTCTCAGCGGCCAGCTCCCCATCTCCCCGCAACAGTTAACACTTCGTCAACATGTGCTCAGTTACCAGCCACTTTCTGATGGGAAGGTAACTCTGTCAGGAATACCCAGCTCTCTCCTGAATCCGACACCCTTCAGTACGTGGGAATGACCAGAGACAACCTCACAGTTGGAGGGCTGAGTATCCTGTGGTCTTTCGGAGTTGTGCATAAAGGTGCACGAAGGTTATATGGAATGTTATCCTCAGGCACTTGGAGCCGTTGGCTGTGCACGGTGATTGCTGAGGTGATTCTGTCCATTGTTTCGCAGAGGCCTTCAGTGAGGCCCTCCATCCTGTGGTGCCCTGTCACACACCATCTGATCTCTGATCTCTCCCATTATCCATCCCTCTGACTGCTCCCATTGTCCATCCCCTTTGACTGTTCCCATTATCCATCCCTTTGGCTGTTCCCATTGTCCATCCCTTTGATCTGTCCCATTGTCCATCCCCTTTGACTGTTCCCATTATCC